TAAAAGAGAGAAGTTTATCCTCCGGGGGGGGGGAGGGTGAGAAAGTTGTTGAAGGTCTTCCGAGGGGGTGGAAAAAGAATCGGCAGAGAGAAACTTGGGGGGGTAGCGCGAAAAAGGAAAATAAACGGAGGGGTTGACGTGACGAGAAAAAAAGTCGGTGAAAAAGAAAAAAACGGTGTGAAGAATGAGCAAAGTGATAGATCAACGGAAGAAGAAAAAGAAGTGAAGAAGTGCAAAAGGATATTGGAATAGTACATCGAAACGCGCATTTCGGTACTGAATACCGCCAACAAATCGACGATATGATTCTGTGACGAGGAATTACTGAGCGGTGCGTTGATCATGCTCTACTACTTTGATTTCCATGATCGCGATTCACCATCCAGTCTAAAGTCTCCAAGGAGAGCTTCCGCAAATTTCAATGGTCCAGCGCAGTCTTCTTCAACGCTGTCGCTTGCGCGTCACGAAATTGTCAATCTCAGTGTTTAGAAATCGGTCGCTGGCGATCCGTCTCTCATTTTTGGAAATCTGTCTTGAAAAAAAGGAGGATACACGAATATCACACATGCGATAATCGGCAGATGCGCCGTCCGGACTCCGGACTCAACTAAAGCTCTTCGGAGAAGGAAAGAAAGGAATCCGATCGTTGGATCAGTGTGCGTTCAGACAGTGCGGGTGGATGTATGACGACAACAACGTTCGTTCCTTGGTGATCGGTGTTGCTATGATCGTGCCGCGTTGGTCCCGTCACGTGGAACGATCATGATTTACTTTAGGCCGCACGACGGTAGGAGTCTACGGTACAACGCGAACGCGAGACACTTGAACGTGCTCGTCGTGCCGCTCTTTCCGCTCTGGATTATCGGCGCGTTCTGCGTGAAGGACAGTAAGTGGATGTTGAATTTCGTTGTTGTATTTTATCGTATTTGCGTGAGCTTTCAAAGGTCGAGCAGCGAATCTACTTGGTTTTCGCTTTTTTGGTAGTTCCGTCGACCATTTCCAGTTATCTGTTTATCAAACGTGAACGAGAGTTAATTGGAAGTTTTGAGAAGCGAAAGTTAAATGAGTGCAGTTTGAAGGAGTATTTTGTTTTTGTGAAATTAGTTGCATAAGATCAACTTACGCCTAATATAATAATTATAAGTTGAAAATCGAGGAAATATTCATTATATTCTAGAAAGATCCTATTTTTCCTTTGTTTTAAAAAAAGTAATGAGATAATTCTCGATAGCGAAAATTGTTAAATATCTTTGCATGTCAAATAACAAATTTTTTAAAATTTAATTTAACTATACAAAATTATATTTTATTCTTATATTTAACTACAATTTAACTATACAAAATTACATTTTATACTTGTATTGATATTACACTGAACTTCTGAATGAAAATCACGTTGTAATCTTCTAAAATAGTTTATCCATTCTCGATCAAACGCGCGCTTTTGAAATTATAATTTCACCACGTAACTCTTTCGTCTATTATCGTTTAATTACGACGTGCGAATGATCGATTTTGCGCATCGCGGCGGTCCAAACTGGTTTATAACGAATATTTTAACACTGATGGATCAAAGGCAACTCCTCTCTTTGACGATAGTTTCGGACGCTGCTTGTAGAGCCGTCAATGGTCCGGTGTTTGCATATCGGTGACACTGCGGCTCGTTTACCGCCACTTACTTCGCCCCCGTCGGTCATCCGCAAATACGGTTGCACGACATACGTTGCTGAGAGCTGTCCTCGTTTGCGTTGTCGAAAGCACCCTTCGAAAGCCTCTCGAAAGCGGAACGTGTTGACTAATTAGTACGCGAGGTGGAATAGTCCGGATGACAAACGAAAAAAATAACGAGATCTGTCAAAAAGCGTCAACGAATTGTGTAACGAGTTGCGCCGAACGAAGCGCAGCACAATTCCAGACTGCGACGAGCCAAGTTTGATGAACGCACAGATCTGTGTCAGATCAAACTTCGTTCTTTGACATGCGACTCTATTGTTCTGTAGATAGAAGTTTGAGAGGGGCAGATTCCCGTCTTAATCTCGGCGACGCGACAGAGGAGACGTATCACGTCTCTCGCTGATACATTCGCAGTCGCAGTTTACGTATCATCGCTGAAAGTACAAACGCTTGTTGCATGTGACGTGAGAGATCGATCGAATAATTATCGTACTAGACTGGAAAATTTTTCGCCGCGTTAACACGGTAACAATGCGAGAGGAACTTGACTTCCGTCGGTGGAATTTTTCATTGGAATGAAAGATATTAGAGCGCTTCATGGTAAGCGGTGGAAGTGTTAATAATGTCAAAGTGTGGTCGAGGGAGCTGCTTGAAAGACTCACTAGATCGTCATGATAATCTTAACGGCTTCACCATTTAGATTTTCTCTGCTGTATAATTTCAACTAGCGACTTGGAGAAAGTTAATCAAGATTCACTTAATGTAAGATTTTCTTGAAATATTTACTTCATTCTATTTGAAATAGACGAAGATACATCAAAATTGCACGATGTAGTAATGGCTTATTGTAAATTGAGAGCTACGATATTTTTGTATGTCAATAATAATTAATTGATTAAATAATTTGTTCCTGTTAATTAAATAATTAATGAAATTTTTTTTTTAAATTTATAAGTAAGATAAATAGACGAAATCGTTATTTAAGGAAGGACAAAAAGAAGGATTAAAAATATGTCTTTTACAATTTTTTTTAACGAAAATTATTAACTGTAATCAGAGTTTTGATCAATATTTTTTATACACGTACGTATTGTACATTAATGAATGTTACATAAATTTTTTAATTAGAAATACAAATAAATAACGTAGTCATCATAACTTTCATGCAATTTATCTGAAACAAAAACAATTTTAATAAAATGATGGATTTCTAAATTTAAAAAATGTAATTTTTTGTTAAAAAATAGTTTTCTGATTGCAAAAAATATATGGCTAAAAAAAGTACTTACGACTAGATTTATTAATGCATTTCATGAATTTGTTTGATTTTTTGTTTTATAAATTGTATGAAAGCTGTGATGACTATTGTAAATCGATATTATTAATGCCATATAACAATGCACATATTGTCGGTACTATTTTTAATTAAATATTTTATATAACATTCACTAATATACGTATCGATCAAACATATCGATCAAAATCTGTTCGAGTAAAGTTTTTGCAACAAAAGAAATCGTAAAAATAGATATCTATATAGATATAGATATATAGATATAAATATAGATATCTCTGATCCTTCTGATAGTGTATATCTCCGCTAATAAGCACTTATTAAATTGCAATAAATTACCGGCTGAAGTGTCATGTCATTTGCATACAGACATACACTTAGTTCGCGTCAAAGACAAGCATTTTACTTCGACATGGACCTTTGGTTCGAGCAAGTTAGTGAATCGAGGAAGTTCGTGGTCGGCTTTTGAAACGTTAGAATCTCGCATGTGAGAATGACCAGGCGATTGGCTTCCCTTAGTTGGTATTCAGTTGATTCCTCTGCTCGAATATATAAGCGGGCATCGTTGTTGCTTACAAAGGAACGCGACTGGTACTATTCGCACGAGATGTTCCGTTTTAAGTAGCGGTGTCGAGCGGGTCAAAGATAAACGGCTGCGACGAAGTGCGGAATCTCAAAGAGTCGACGAGGAAATCTCGTTTCGTGTTTGTAATCAAATATTTAATGTCGACGCAAAAAATACTTTGAGATTTAATTCAAATTTCTCGTCGAACATTTTTCAATTATACAATTA